GGGCGGGGCTCCGCCAAGCTGATATGTGTTTTATACTTCTCGAGACCTGGCCCACCCATCCCCCACTTGACCGGGTCTCTCCAGGCAGTTCTAAAGGAGCTAAGGAATTTCGTGACAGACATACAGACAGACAGACGGACAGACAGACAGACAGACAGACAGACTAAGCGCTTTATAGTAAGTAGGATGATGATGCTTGGTCAGTAGCGACAGCCATCGTTTCGTTGTAGGAGCCAAAATGCTCTTTATGCCTCCCGCCACGATGCTATCGAATTACTGTAACATAAGCCGTTTTGCCCTCTAGGAAATTCTGTCTTACTATTCATCTGTTGCTGAAAGTGTCCCCTTACTTGTCGTGTTTGGCCTTGCGCGTCGTCAGGTTTTATAATCAACCAGTCTTTCCTCCTCCCCAAGACGGCAGTTTCTACGAATATCGATCCACCTTCTCCAAAACGGCTGTCTCTTGAGAACGGGGTTCCCACAGATAGTATTGGCTGGGCGATACGCCTTCATTTGCACAGCTCCCACTTCATGTTCTTTATTCGGGTGAGTCAGTGGTTGCTATTGCATAGGACAACCTTTGTTAGTTCTGTTGACCTTTAATGTGCTGGCGTATCCCTGGGTGTTGCGTATTAGTTACCGTAACTTAAGGACTTGTTATGAAAGATTGATGGGACGATTTACGAATAACTCATGGGTATGTTTCAGTGGTCCTTTGGACAGTACCTGGAGTATATGTAGGAAACAGTCCTAGTGATTTTCGTTGGCGCGATTGTAGTATTGTTTGGATGACGATATTTACCTTGGGAGTTTAGGACGCTCGTAGCAAACATACGGCGGTCCAACCGACCAGAGAATTGTGCTACCTTTTCAACTTTCTTTCCTGTTGTGATCCTTCATTTACCATTGATTGCTCGTTTTGTTTCTCGCGATTCCGCCTTTTCCTTAGAGGAAGATATATGTTCAAAGACGTCATTATTACAGAAAGAGATGAATATGTTCCCGAATATGAATCACCCACCTCAGCACGGTCATCATGTACCTTGTGGACCATTCGTTCATGTAAGAAGCTTTTTTTCAATAGCCTGCCTATTCACAATTCTTTTTTAGCGTGATTATTGGAAATTTTTTAATCGAATTGTGAGAAAACTATGTTTTTGCTATTACCTTCATATCCCATTACCATTTTATTGGCTGTTAGTCTTTTCAAACTCCGAAGAAGTGAAGTTTGCAACCGAGCAATGAGGCCAAATCAGAGCTCTTCCAAGGCCTTCCGGCTGAATATCTAATTATGGCTGAAATCCCTGTCATGGATAAGCGAGTGATCTGGCTTCTTCGCAATACTTGTTTTCGTATTCCACCAACAGGTTTACTTTAATAGATGATGAAGTCGTAATAAACAAGTTTTCTGGATATGCCTCCCGTGAAAGCAACACATCGCATGGCTGTAGGGTATAGTGATAGAGGAGTAAGAACATTTGGAGAAGGAGCGTTTTTGTGAACTGCTTCTTATGCAGGATTGGCTAACGCCTTCTAATCCCCTTCTAATCTTCGTCAAAGCTTCTTGTGTCTTCGATTAGTAACCTGGCAATAGCTGTTACTGAAATCGACGTTTCTCTCATTCAGCCCGGCGTGTATCCGCAAACCAGTCAACAACAACCAGTAAATGGGACAGATATGAAATCGCTGCAAGTACAGTTGCAAAGGGAACGAGCCTTACGTGAAAATGCAGAACGTGAGCTGCACCAATTAAAAGTGCGTTTCTCTTGACCACTTCTTCTTTTTCTCTCTT